TAAAGAAATGCTAAAACAATATTTTAAAAGTCATTAATTATATATTGTTTGCAGATTAAAGCTGCAAAAACCACTTCCGGAACTATAGTGGGATATAGTGGAACTAGAGCGCTCATTTCCATATTATTTACAAGCAGATTTTTTAATTGAATCAAATAACATGGAAATGAGCACTAAACTTGTGCTATATTCCTCTATAGTTCCATAAGTGGCTTTTACATCATGTGAAAGCTCAGAGTGAGGGAAAAGTGTATACCTGAAGGAGTGTCTCCACCCACATCATTCAGCCCAGATACTGAGGTCCAGCTCCGAGGGCCTTCTGCCAGTTCCCTCACTGTGAGAAGAGAGGTTACAGGGAACCAGGCAGAAGGCCTTCTCGGTAGTGGCACCCGCCCTGTGGAACGCCCTCCCACCAGACGTCAAAGAGATAACAATAATGTGACTTTCTGTAGACATCTGAAGGCAGCCCCTATTGGGAAGCTTATAATATTCAGTGTATTGTTTGTTCTTTCATAGTCTGTTGGAAGCCACCCAGAGTGGCTGGGGCAACCCAGGCAGATACAGGGGCACCAACTATAGGATGAAAGCTTCAGCCTTCAATATTTCTGGGCAGTAGGGTTAGCCCCCACCCCCAATATTGAGGGGATGGCCATCCCCCTGCTCCCCCCAGGTGAGCACTGGCTCACCAGGCAGGGGCGGGATGCACAAAGGGCAATTTTCACCCTCCATGCTCCCTGCCATTGATGGGCAAGCACTGGCACACCAGGTGGGCAGGATGGGGCAGATCACCTGATGCCGGGGCCCCTTGATGTGGGGGGCAAGTCAGCACCCCTGGTCAGATGGGTGGGGCACAAGTAACAAATTGTCACTGTTATTGACTGTTGTGTGAATGCAGCCAACAACAGGAATGAATACTGATCATATTCACTTGACTGATTTCTATTCCTGAACATAAACAAACACATGAACTGCCTCAGTTTCGACTTCTGTGTCCACTTCATGCAGAATCCTCTGACACCCCTAGTGGAGGAGTAAGTATTTCTTCATGCTTTCCTGACTGTTTCTTGAACAACCCCAGCCCAACCAAGAAGTGAAATACTACCATGGACTTACCATGTACAAAGTCGGGTTGCTTAGCCAGCTTCAGCCTTTCTTACTTCCTCTAGGGGTTTCTGTGCATTGTTGTTGTTTAGTCGTTTAGTTGTGTCTGACTCTTCGTGACCCCATGGACTAGAGCACGCCAGGCATATGTGCATATGTGGCAACATATTGCTGCATGTCTGTGATGAGAAGACATCAGGACACTTTAGGTACAGGTACAAGTCCCAGAGGGGAGGGGAGGGGAGGAAAGGAGCCCATAGAAATAACCTGTTCTGACCTCTTGTTTAAACAAGTGCAACCCAAAGCACATTAAAAAATACTCTTTAATCCTCGCAACACCCTCTGTAAGATCAATAATGGTATAATCACTTGACAGAGGGGCTAACTAGCTGAAACACTCAGCTCAAGGAGTAATTTTGCAGATCCTGACTCCTGAGGTGAATTTTGCAGATCTGTCTAATTTACCTCAGAAATCGAAACAGGACTCATCCTGAATAGACATCACTTTCTCACTACACCAATCAAGCTCCATTTTTCCCTAGGAAACAACAAGGAAAATGAGCTTCAAACAAATATGCAGTCTTACACTGGTTGCTGGGCTGAGGTATTCAGCTCAAACAAATTTTCTGGGTTTCATGAGTAGGGTAAAAACACCGCCTGAATATTATATTAATCTTCAAAGGGAAGGAGGGCTTATTTAAAGATATGTGGTGTCACCTTCATAAGTACCAGGTGACTTAAGGTTGTTTTTCTTTGATCCTTGTCTTTTTTGTTTGACAGCATGTAGTGCTGCTCTGGTCACCCTGTTGCTGACTTACTGGAGCACATGGAACTGGGGGAAGCGCTTAAAAATTCATTTTGCAAATCATTCAAAAGAGTTTTTTCAGTGTTCTCCACAAAATGGAAGCAAACCCATAAGTCCTGATTCTATTCTAGCTCAGTTTTTTCTGGACTTTCACATCTCTAGTGACATCCCTTTATTGCTAAGCTCTGTCTCTTTTTCCTGTGGGATAACCAGCCTCATATAACCAACATGCTTTAGTCTAATGAATGTAGGAAGGGGTTAATGTACAGAGTAATCTGTCTTGCCAGGCTTTGGGATCCTAGGTGTATATCTGTGGGTTTGGAATGGGTACTCACTGCATGAGGAAACTGCAACAGGTCTGCCCTACTATCAGGAAGCAGCAGGAGCCAGGTGACTTTAGGTAACTATCTGACAGTCAAGATAGATCAACAACTCAGAATAGGCCAGGAATGACTAATGTTTCAACTAGTTCCCACTCATCTGTGGAGGGAACCATACCCAGAGAGGTGAAGAAAGTTTCTATTACATAACAGACTCATCCCTTAAAGAGACAAGCTGCACACACTACACCAGACAGGGACGCGGGTGGCGCTGTGGTCTAAACCACTGAGCTTCTTGGGCTTGCCAATTAGAAAGTCGGCAGTTTGAATCCCCGCAAGGATGAGCTCCTGTTGCTCTGTCCCAGCTCCTGCCAACCTAGCAGTTCGAAAGCACACCTGTGCAAGTAGATAAATTGGTATTACTGTGGTGGGAAGGTAAATGGTGTTTCTGTGCATTCTGGTTTCTGTCACAGTGATCTATTGCACCAGAAGTGGTTTAGTCATGCTGGCCACATGACCCAAAAAGCTGTCTGTGGACAAACACCAGCTCCCTCAGCCTGAAAGCGAGATGAGCGCCACAACCCCATAGTCGCCTTTGACTGGACTTAACCGTCCAGGGGTCCTTTACGTTTTTTACTACACTGGACAGCTGGTAGCCCTTGTAGAGTAGCTGTTGTCTGGCACTCCAGCATAGCATAGCTTCACATATGTTTTACAGTGATGTGGTCCTTGCCTGGTAGAAACAGGATAGGCTTGATCATGAGTTCTCTGAGGGGAACTGTACAGTCGCTGTACAGTGAATGACAGGCAGAGATGAAAGATGGACCTGAGCTCTGGCGCTTGGGATATAACCTGCCCAGTAGATGCATGTCATTCACTGAATATATGTGATAGCATTACTAGTAATAACAAGCAGTGGAACTGGGAAGGACACAAGAGTTAGTCTTCTGCTCCCAGTTAGCAATGATTTATTCTTGGATTTTGCAGCAATGATCTATTGTATGCCCCCTTTCCCCTCCCCAAGCTGTAATTTCGTCTCCTTTAAAATTAGAGTAATTGCTCTGAACCTTTCCTTACAAATGGCTGCGAGATTTTCATTATTAATGTTTCATTATAATCAAGGGTAGCCAAAGTTTCATTAGATTCTGACTGCTAGACAGCACACCCCAACCACGGATGGAGGTTTTGTATTCCCAGTGGGACTTGTTTTATATGAAAGCATTTGGTGAGGGTCACCGTCTCTCCCCCCACCCCACCCCCAAGCAAGATTAGATGTTCACAGAATGGGGGCGGGAGGCTGTCTCACATCTGTGCCAATATGTAACAGGCTTTCGTATTATGACAGCAAAGGTGGTTTCATAAATAATAAGTACAAGCACCTGTTGTGAATAATGTCATTTGTGGGAATGTAAGCACCCTGTGGGTGTTGTGTAATATGACAGAAGTAAAAGAGAAGGGGGGGGCAGAAAATAAAGTAAATGTGAACAGAGAAGCTGTGGAAGTGTGCTTGTGGCCAGCTTGGAACATCTGAGACTCCTAATAGGGTACTCAAAAGAGAAATGAAGTTCTAAACCCTTTTCTGAAAAACATCAATGTATGGTCCGAAAAAGGACTTGCAGCATCTCTCTCCACTCTCACACCTACAGTTCGCAAAGCATGCTAACTCTGTCTGCAAGGTGACAGCAGCAGCAGCAGCAATGGAGAACAGGGAGAAGGTAGCAGCTCAAGACATGAAAACCCTCCCCCCAGCCCCCTTTTCAAGGGCTATCATGTGCAGGTAAGTAAAGGCGAGGATGATTGGGAGGCGAGTAGCGAGAGGATGTTTACATCTTCAGCTGCTTGGGATGTCTCAGAAAATCAGCTGATTTGTTTCCAGGATGATTTGGGGTTGTTGTTTTTTTAAAAAAAAGGAAAATTTGGAAGCCTGCGATTGTTCGCTCATCTCTTTTTATTAGTAAGAGCCATGCTAGATTTTTCAGCCTCTGGGAAATAGGAATACTATGGACCTACCTCCTAAAGAGCAATTGGCAAATCAAAATAGTCCTGCAGAGAAGAGTTCTCTAGCTGAAATGATTTGGAAACCAGCTTCTCTTGGGGGGAAAGCTGATTCCTTTTGGGGCAGCTAGCTCAAAAACTCTGAATGAAGCACAAGCTAGGCTTAGTGGTACTGATGCAATCCACAGTGGTAGTCAGTTTCAGAAACAAGACTAGGTTATAGTGGGAGTATATAGTGTATTGCAGCACCACCATGTGGTAAAGTCATATATATTTATTGTGGTCATTTAAAGTAAATCGTGTTGAACTCCTTGAAGGGCAGGTGCCATAGTAATACAGTGGTACATCGGGTTCAGAATTTAATTCGTTCCAGAGGTATGTTCTTAACCTGAAACTGTTCTTAACCTGAGGTACCACTTTAGCTAATGGGGCCTCCCACTGCTGCCACACAGCTGCTGTGCGATTTCTGTTCTCATCCTGAAGCAAAGTTCTTAACCTGATGTACTGTTTCTAGGTTAGCAGAGTCTGTAACTTGAAGAGTATGTAAACTGAAGTGTCTGTAACCTGAGGTACCACTGTAAAGGAGAAGGTCCTTTATTGCAAAAGTTAAGCACAATCAAAATATTCAGTAGCTACAAAACTCTGGGAAGAGTGAAATCACAGAGGGAATGGAAGATGGATTATAAGAATGCTAAAGAGTGTGTGCAGGATTAGTTCAAGTAATTTGAATGCTGTAAAACGTGCTCAGTTGTGTTGTTGTTGCTGACGTTCTATTGGTAAGAAGTGTAGCTCAGTGGCAGAGCCACTGCTTGGAATGCAGATAGTCCCAGTTTCAATCCCTAGCGCGATGCCTCCCTTCCCATCGGAGCAGCCCCAATCCCATTCCTACTTGTGTGCAAGCAGGAGGGGGTGGGGATCCCTCAGCTGGGAAGCAAGGCTTCACACTGCCTTTTGGAGCAACCCCATCCCAACTCCTACTTGTGTGCAAACAGGGGCAGGGCGGGGCAGGGCGGGGTGGGGATCTCTCAGTTAAGCAACGGGAAGCCTCCCTTCCCAGCTGAGGGATCCCCTTAGTTGCTGGGGTCAGGGAAGGTGGAGGCAGCCCGAAGCTGCATCTTAGAGCCCCTGCACCACCATCATATGGAGACTTCCGAGCAGCTCCTGAAGCCAGCCAGAGACAACTGCTCCGGGCTGCTGAGACTGCCACTGCTGCATTTCCCAGGGACATTAGATGAAATCCGGGGACATTCCAGGGATGGAATTTGTCCGGGGACTTATTCACAAATCCAGGGACTGCCCCCAGGAAACAGGGACATCTGGTAACCCTATGGTAAAGGATGAAGATTTTGCCCACCCATGGAAACTGTGGTTGAGTTTGATAGCAGTGCAGTAGCATGGGAGGCTATTATTATGCTACATTATTCAATGATTGTTCATTCATTTCCTATTTATTACCCATATATCCCTCCTGACAGATACTGGCAAGTCTCCCTAGTACTCCCTCTTGTTGCACTCGGATTCTGCTCAAGGGAGGACCTCAAATAGTATCCACGTTCGAGCCTGGGGAGAATTTTGCAGAAATTTTAAAAGCATTCTAGTGTGCTCTGGCAGATTTTGCTTGTGCAACAGGGATACATATAGGCTAGAAGAAAGGGTTTGGAGAGTATAGGAGCCCTTCTTTCAGCCTTCAGAAAATGTAAGTAAGGTAGAACATTGTACCACTGAGAGTTTGGGAAGCACAAACAGTTAAGGCCAAATGTTGCCCAAGATGCTCTAAAATGAACAGCGGGGTGTGTGTGTGTGTGTGTGTGTGTGTGTGTGTTACAAGCAGGGCATTTTTCAGTCGGAACTCCTCAGAGCTCAGTTCTGGCACCTCTCTGGTGAGCACCATTGCCATTACAAGAGAGCGACAGAGGCATTCAGCACCTCTTTTTCTAGAAAAATAGCACTGGTTACAAGGGCATTGATATTTGCTCATGAAATGTTCCTGGTAGTTTGTAAATGTATGGGCAGATTTCTGAAGATGCAGAGTACTGAAGAGAGGTCTACATGCAGAGACCTAACCATGTGATAACTATACATATTTTATTTACTGTTCCAATTATCCAAGAAGTGGCCATGAGTTGCAGTGTTTGTGTGACCACCTTGGAGAAGCAGTCACCAATTCTGAACTGGCATCACCTACTCAAGATACCAAATCTATAACCTTCCATTAACTAACCAATCAACCATTAATTAACTCTGCTTTGTACGCCCAGACTTGTTTGGGAGTCATGGGAAACATGCCATCGTTTTGTGTTTCAGACCAGGGTATTCCTGTCCAGAACTCCTCCTTCTCTACTGCCATGATTATTAAATACTTTTTAGTTCTTATCTAGAACTATTAAGTTGTGGGTGAACATATCAGAAGACACAGAGATTCTTCAAACAGCTCTTGTTTATTCACAGGCCAGAACAGTACTGAACTGAAGGGTTCAGCCAGCCTGCTTATATAGAGCTCCACTAGAACGTATAACCACTTTCTGTAACTATCCAATCACTGAACATCACTTTCAATCCCTTATTTGTATATGTGGACCTGAGTGAAAACTATCTACAGCATCCCCCTGCTGGCCCAGGATGAGAACTTCAGTACATAACAAGAACCATCCTTCTCCCAGATCACTGGGTGAGCTCCGAATCTCATAGCATTGGTTAAGGTTCCTTAGGACTGGTTGAGAGTTAGTTAAAAGGAGAATGAAGAAGCAAAGATTATGATGGTGATAATATATTTATGAATGCCAATAGCCCAGTGCCAGGAGGGCCTAAGGATTCCCCTGCTGGGGATGACCTTTTCATCTGATACCCTCCCTTCAGGGGGCTAACCTTAGTCATTGAGCTTTCTCTGCTTGGAATTGGACTCCCTCTGTGGTTTAAAGCCCTGGAAATTATTTCAAGTGGTTGTAAGCAAATCTATTGTGTCTATCTGATGAATCCCCAGAGACAGTGCAAATGCGAAGAGGGGGGAGTCGAGGGGGAGAAGGAACCTCTCCCTGCGGAGTGGTGGAGGCCCTAACAGTGATGTTTAGATAGCTCCATGGGAAGAAAATCTTCCTCACAGCAGAATATTTTCCCCTGAAACAAAACCATGGTAGGCAATTTCCATTTTCCATTTAAAATAAATAAATGGCTCGATGCCGCTGCACTCGGCAATCCTTTTCATTGTTGTCTCCTAAAGATCCATGTCAGCTGGTAGCAAGCAGTTGGTGGCAGGGAGGTATTGCTCCATAATTAACCTCCTTCCCTGAAACATTACTGCATATAAAACAATTATATTCAACAGTCCAGAGCCCAGTTAAACCTAATTTAGAGGACAGGAATGCTGTTGATTTAACTAATTACAGGCACTCCCTGTGTACTGAATTAAGGTTGTTTTGTTTTTAATATTAGTCGGTAACTCTGTGGCTATAATATAAACCAATTATTTAATAAATTTTCCAATTAAAAGGGGTATACAAAAATAACAAAGAGTCTAGAAACACACAGTCAAATTATTGGATGTTGAATTAGGTATACTGTATCCAGTTGGAAATCCCATCCCAGTCATTACTATGTGTTGGCTATGAGTGAGTTGTTATTGTTCAGGGTGCGTGAATCCATAACATGCCATATTTCTCTCTGCATTACTTGATCATCCATTGATCATCCAGTACCATTCAATGATAATACCAACACAAATGTCAGAAATGGATATACAGATTGGCCTTATAGTAAGTCAGCTGGTCTACTCCCAACTAGCAGTAACTCAGGCAAAGGTATTTCAACTTCTTGCCTTTAAAAAGGAATGTTAAGACTTCCGGGTCAGCGCCATTGGTGAATGGCGGAGTTCCTCCGACCGGAGGAACGGGCTCCGTGGAAACTGGGTCTTCCCGCCGCCGCGAAGGTGGGGACCTGCTAGAAATCCCAGGCAGAGGAAGTCTGGGAACGTGGGGTTCAGCAGGGCACCAGAAGCGCCCCCTACTCACGGGGAATCCCATTTAGGGGCTCCGGAGCGAAGTGGGGTGAGAAGCGCGGTGCTACGAACTGATTGCTACTTTCACGGAGTGAAGCCGCACAGCCATTGCCAGAGAGCGCTGACTTTTTCCTGTGGACAATTGGACTTAAAACAAGTACCCGTGAGTAGAAATGGAAAATTGGATCAAGAAACTGCTTAATTTGGTATCGAAGCGGGAAGGTGCAAAACAGGAAGTCCGCCTTTCCGCTTTTTGTATATAGACTAAAGCAAAAACTTTGTAAGCTAAAGCCGGGAAAGCTGTTAAAAAAGCCTAAATTTCCTTCATTCAGAATCACTGAAACCCCCCTTGGAAGCAGGAGAAAAGGGGGGGGAACTTTGTTCAACCCTAGCAGGAGAGGGAGTGAAGAAGGATAAGTTTCCACCGTCTCTAACCTGGGAACGGGGTGTCAGAGACAGAAACTGTTGGAGAGGTTCATTGTCTGTGAATGGAATATTTTGACAGATAGCTAATGAAGAGAAACAAGTTGATTCTAATGTTGCCTTTTGCATTTTAAAGAAACAAAGTATCTGAAAAACATCTGAAATATCTGAAAAATGAAAGTAACTTTCCTTTGCCTTTAAAAAAAATGGATACAAATAGAAATTGTGTCCTCTAGAGGGAGCTTGTTAAACTTTTGCTGCAGTATACTTGAGGACCCAACATCTGTGAGATTAAGATCATGGGAACAGTCTTTTCTGACCTTGACCAAAGATGAGCTGGGAGGAAGATTGGGTGCTTGCTCTATGCAAGACAAATGCCTTGCTGGAACAGATGCATGAGAAGATGGACTTGATGAATGAGAAAATGGATTTGACTGTTGTGGTTAATAACTGTGGACAAACAGGGAACATTGATACAGAAATCATCCAGGGACCAACCTATGAATCTGTACTGACTGGGCAAGTGCAGATGATAATGGAGGAGGATGCGGCTGCACCTCAAATAATACAAATGGAGAGACCCGAGGCCCTACAGGAGCATAAGCCGCTGACATTGAAGATTGAAGTTGGAGAGGGGGCCAGGGGGAGTTTGGAGCTGAGGAGGTTCCTAACCTTGGAGAGACCTTGAAATATGATTTTAAATTCTTTTTGGATTATATTGAGGACTGTGGAGAATGGGACTGTGGGGAATGGGCGGACTGGATGAAGGGAGATGGAGACAATTTTGGGTTGGAATCCCCCAGAGACCTCAATGAGAAAGGAAAGAAATCAAGAAAAGACCAACGAAAGACAAGGAAAAGGGCAAGTATAAACAAGAAGAAGAAGAACTGCAGAAGGGACATGGAAGAGACTTAAGGGCCTCGGACATAAGGCTTCCAGGTTGATGGACTAGATGGAATGGACAGTAAGGACTGACACGATCCGAGACCAGGAAGAAGAGACGCTGGATGATGATTGGAAGAAAATTTATAAAGGAAACTTTTTATTTAGAATTAGCTTAATGAATATTAGGGAAAATGTTGGAATGAAACTATATGACTCTAGCAGAAATGATATCAGGAGCTATGTATATTCAAAAACTAAGCTTTAAGGTATTTTGGGGTAAGATAAGGTTAAATAAATTAAGGTAATTTGAATAACAGAATATGGGAAAAGATGGAAAGGATTTGTTGAGTTAATTATTAGGTTAAATTGTTAAGAAATTTTTTAACAAAAATTGAGAAAGATGGAAAGAATTTGCTGAAACAATTAATTAAACTAGAATACAAAAAGGGAGGTGTGAGGAGGTCAATGAAACAAGCAAATGGAAATTATAGATATGCAATTTGGGATTTGTGTCTTTTTTCCCCCTCTTTTTTTTTTTGGCTGTATTGTTGTATTGGTTTTTATGTTTTGCGTTTTTCTCTTTTTTTGTATTGTAGTGTTGTTGTTGTTTTTTTTGTAATTCTGAAATTATTAATAAATATTATTTTTTAAAAAATTAATAAAAAGGAATGTTAAGAGACAGACAGGCCAGTTGTTCATCTCCAACTTCTCACCTCGTTTTAGCTCAGCCAGAGCATGAGATTCTTAATCTGAGGATTGTAGGCTTGAGCCCCACATTGGGCAAAAGATTCATGCATTGCAGGGGGTTGGACTAGATGACCCTTGGTGTCTCTTTCAACTCTACAATTCTATGATTTAATAATTGTCCAGATTATTAAATAATAATTTGGCAGGTGCAGCATCTCATGCAGGCTGAAGAAACTTTTATTATTATTATTTATTTACAGGCTGAAGAAACTGAGACCTCCTGAGGTCCAACATTCTAGAAAGGCTGCAGCAGAATCACCCTGTTTATCCAAAGAAAAACTGGAACCGTTACGAAGTGAACATGCACAAAAGCTCAACACACACACTGCCCCAGAACCCACTGTCAAAAATTTGGGGAAAGGTGCTATGGCACATACTTTCAAAAAAAATGGTAAAGGACCCCTGGACAGTTAAGTCCAGTCAAAGGTAACTATGGGGTATGGCACTCATCTCACTTCAGGCTGAGGGAGACAGATTTCCAGGTCATGTGGCCAGTATGACTAAACTGCTTCTGGCGCAATGGAACACCATGATGAAAGCCACAGCACACGGAAATGCCGTTTACCTTCCCGCCACAGCAGTACCTATTTATCTACTTGCACTGTTGTGCTTTCTATAAATGCACTTACTATAGTGCCCACTGATGCTGCTGACACACAAACCCTTCTCTGCCAGACCAAAAGGCCCAGGAGCATAACTGAGGTAGCAAGGGGAAACTGGTATTGACAAATGCTCCCAGGCCCTGGCAGAATGCTTTTTCCTATTAGAGATGGTGACTGGGAGAACAAGCCCAGGGTTTCCTGGCAGCACGCTGCCAGTATTTGTATCATTCTGGGGAGAAAGCCTTCCCCACCTCACCAAAGATTATAGAACTGATATTTACAGTCCCATCAGTGGTGGGAAAAGGTGCTCCCGGGGACATGATGATTTCCTGCCATCTTCCTCCACTATCTTCTCCCAAATAAGTTACTGGGCCATGAGGGCCAAAGGAAGGAGCTGAGGTGGTGCTTACCGGATCAATGCCTTTGCAAGCAAGCATTCAAACAAGGGCAGTCATTTTTACAATGGCCACCCAGTACGAATGCTGGTACCACTCTTGTATCATAGCAACTGTTTAGAAAAATCTTTGATGCATTTCCTGAATGAAAATATACACAGAGACTGTTTACAATCAAGTGAAGGGCACTAGAGAGAACACCCGGTCACGTCCCTCTTCAATGAAATACAACAAAAATCTACATTTGGCAACAGTTGCTTCTGTTACAAATGAACTGCTGGAGATGAAAACTTGTGACTTCCGTTACGCTCATTTAAGTTTACAAATAGTCTTAGCAGAATCTGGCTTCAATCCATATTAATATAATGCAGGAGCTAAAACGACTACACAAGGACAGTTAAATTGAATAGGTTGGTTTTCAAACCTGAAGTTCAACCAGTGCTGTTTCCCAAGGTAGTTACATCTGTTTGCTTGTAATGCTTATAGTATTGTCTGTTTTATAGTAAGGGAAGGCAACATGTGGACAGCGTTGGGGGAAGGGGCTGCTTGCTGCTGCTGAGCTGTTTTGAAAATCTGGCCACTGAGTTATGCTGCAGGCTCACATCGTTTCTAGAGGCATGCCACATTTCCAGCAAGATTATGTACAACTCGTGGAATAAGAGATAGGAGAACTGCATCAGAGAAAAACCTCTCATTGGCTGATGGTACCCCGAGGGCAGGACACTGTTGCCTAGCAACCTTTCGCTGGCATCATCACGGATGCGTTGAAATCCTTCAGATGTATACCATATGCAACAGGAGTTTGCATCTGAGCGAAATCCACTGTCCTGGGGAATTCTGACACATGCACACCCCCAATTCAATGCCCATTTCCTTCAAGTCCCACTTACTTTAGCCTCTTCCAGAGGAATATGCAAAACTCAGGCTAGTTCCTTACTCTCTTGCTCAGGGTTTTGCAAGCATCATTTCCCCAACACTGCACAGAGTACAACCATATCCCAGAGTCATCTGCATTCACAATGAAGGTCCGCTTGGGATCTCTAGATGCCCTCATTCAGTAGACTACTCAGAGCCCTGCTTCTACCCTCAGCAACACACATCAACCTAAACAAAGGTCACTGATAAACCTACGCTGACCTTGTAGCTTCCTTCTCCATGACTTTTGAAAATGACTATTAGTTTGCACAAAGTATAGATAGAATGGGCATAACAGTTCCTGATTTTCTTGCTGTTGCCACAGTACATCCCACCTGATAAAGGACATTCAGAAAGTTTCAGAAGAAACTGAGCTTTGGCACTTAACACTGCATAACACCGGTCTGGAAAGACCTACATTGGCTCCCAGTACATTTCCAACCACAATTCAAAGTGTTGGTGCTGACCTTTAAAGCCCTAAATGGCCTCAGCCCAGTATACCTGGAGGAGTGTCCCCACCCCCATCGTTCAGCCCAGACACTGAGGTCCAGCGCCGAGGGCCTTCTGGCGGCTCCCTCACTGCAAGAAGCGAGGTTATAGGGAACCAGGCAGAGGGCCTTCTCAGTAGTGGCACCTGCCCTGTGGAGCACCCTCCCACCCTCAAGGAAATAAACAACTATCTGACTTTTAGAAGACATCTGAAGGCAGCCCTGTTTAGGGAAGTTTTTAATGTCTGGTGTTTTATTGTATTTTTACTATTTTGTTGGAAGCCACCCAGAGTGGCTGGGGAAACCTAGCCAGATGGGTGGAGTATAAATAATAAAGTAGTAGTAGTAGTAGTGGTAGTAGTAGTAGTAGTAGTAGTGTTTTTCCTATGCCAGGGATTGAGCCATCGCTAGGATGCATCAGCAGCTGTGGGATGAAACCTGAGAGATGTGCTCAAGCACTGTCTGATATTGTGCTGAGAATACACTTACCATCAGGCGCATCATTTTGATTGCAGCATTCTGCATCATCTTAGGGTATGGGTCACTGACATTTACAGGCCCACCTGCTCACCTCAGGCACAAACATACGCACCCACCCCAAAGAGACAGACAGAGAAAAAACTTGTGCACACCTATTTTGCTTCCCCAATGGGTAAAAATTGGATCTTGTAGAATTAATACGAGCCTTCAAACCTGCATAGAGCTAAAGAAGGAAATGGGAAATCGTGTCGCTCTTCCAGCCTCCTCCTTCACCTTTATGTACTTTTCAAAAGAGAAACAGGTAATCACCATCACCACCTCATGACAAAGGCAGCAGTGGGTTTGGGGTGCATCTCAGAGGCTTTGTAGGTGCCAGAGCAGACGTCAAGGGTGCCATTGCGCCCACAGCCACCAAGCCTGGCAACTCTTGTCTTAAGGGATGGTCTTCAGGTGCAAGTTTAAACAGCTTTGCTGAAGCTAAGCAGGAATGGGGTTAGGGATTGCTCCAGTAAATTATTCCAAGGAACAAGCTGTCCATGGTTTAAAAAGAAATGAGGAGAGAAGCAAAGGAGTGGGAATGATAAAGCAGAGGATGTGCTGAAGAGAAGTCAGCAAGAGAGAGGAAAACATTAATGATGGACAGAACTTGTGTGTTTAAGTGTGCATTATTTATGAGCACAATTTCAGCTGAAATGCATTCCTGTCCAAGCAGAGCAAGCGAGAAGAAGGAGTGCTTGGTTATTTTTAGTGTGAATGTGTACTTGTTCCTCTAATGTTGTTAGTATCCAGATTTGAATGCCATATGTGCTTCTTGCAAACCAGCCAAAGATCTAAGCATCAGACAACTGCCACTTGAACACCACTTTTTCCCCCCTTCTGAAATCTCTGGGGCAACATTAGTGTGGGCGGGAGACAGAGATCCCAAGAAAATACGTGCCAAATCACCATAGAGAATTGATGTTGTTCAGCATTATGGAGAAAGCATAAGGGAGTTTTGTGCGAGTAACTCAGGGTTGGTATTGACTTTCTGCCATGTGCTTCAGGACAAAAATATGCACTTGAAAGGCCATTCTCCCATTACACTATGCATGCTTCTTTGTGCAAGGCTGAATTGCTATGCAGGAAAAAGGCTGATATGGCAGAAGGAGACCCTCTGCCAGTATAACCTAACGGTTAATGGCTGAACTATGAACCAACCAACCCCCCTGTCAGGGCATAGCCCAGTGGTAGCGTATCTGCTTTGCATACAGAAGGTCCTGGGTTCAGTCCCCAATATCTCCAGGAAGAGCTAGGAATGCCCCTGTCGGAAACCCTGGAGATCCTCTGCCAGACAGTGTGGACTGTCCTGAACTAAATAGACCAAGGGACTTTCTCAATATAAAGCAGTTTCCTATGCTCCTATGTTGCTGCTGCTATGGACCTCCTAAGCGACTGCTATCTCTTACCAAGTTAGGAATGGGCAAATCTGTCAATTTTGATTTCTTCCAGTTTCTAATTTTTAAAAAAATAAGTCAGGGCTTTGCATTTCCACACCAGCTTGCATTTTTAAAAAAGTCCTCTTGAAAAATCATCAGCATTTTAGTACAAATTTCTCTTAATGTGCACATATTTGTATGCAATTAAACCTAATTTAGCCTACTATATGCATTTTTGCATATAGAGTTGCATAGAGTTCCAGAAAAACATCTACTTCTGCTTCATTGACTAAGCAAAAGCCTTTGACTGCGTCGACCACAGCAAACTATGGAAAGTTCTTAAAGAAATGGGAGTGCCTGATCACCTCATCTGTCTCCTGAGAAATCTCTGTGTGGGACAAGAAGCCACAGTTAGAACTGGATATGGAATAACTGATAGATTCAAAATTGGGAAAGGAGTACGACAAGGCTGTATATTGTCTCCCTGCTTATTTAACTTATATGCAGAATTCATCATGCGAAAGGCTGGACTGGATGAATCCCAAGACAGAATTAAGATTGCCAGAAGAAATATCAACAACTTCAGATATGCTGATGACACAACCTTGATGGCAGAAAGTGAGGAGGAATTAAAGAACCTTTTAATGAGGGTGAAAGAGGAGAGCATAAAATATGGTCTGAAGCTCAACATCAAAAAACTAAGATCATGGCCACTTGGCCCATCACCTCCTGGCAAATAGAAGGGGAAGAAATGGAGGCAGTGAGATATTTTACTTTCTTAGGTTCCATGATCACTGCAGATGGTGACAGCAATCATGAAATTAAAAGATGCCTGCTTCTTGGGAGAAAAGCAATGACAAACCTAAACAGCATCTTAAAAAACAAAGATATCACCTGACTGACAAAGGTCTGCATAGTTAAAGCTATGGTTTTCCCAGTAGTGATGTATGGAAGTGAGAGCTGGTCCATAAAGAAGGCTGATCGCCGAAGAATTGATGCTTTTGAATTATGGTGCTGGAGGAGACTCTTGAGAGTCCCATGGACTGCAAGAAGATCAAACCTATTCATTCTTAAGGAAATCAGCCCTGAGTGCTCACTGGAAGGACAGATCTTGAAGCTGAGACTCCAATACTTTGGCCACCTCATGAGAAGAGAAGACTCCCTGGAAAAGAACTTGATGTTGGGAAAGATGGCGGGCACAAGGAGAAGGGGACAACAGAGGACGAGATGGTTGGACAGTGTTCTCGAAGCTACGAACATGAGTCTGACCAAACTGTGGGAGGCAGTGGAAGACAGGAGTGCCTGGCGTGCTCTGGTCCATGGGGTCACGAAGAGTCAGACACAACTAAAAGACTAAACAACAACAACAACAACATATATTTTTGCACTCGTTACTTGGTTGAAGAACTGCATTGCAACATTCAGAAATACATGAATTTTGCAGTGTGGCTGTGTTTAAGTTCATGTGAAAAGTGGAAAATTTGATTGATTTGGCTTTAAATGCAAATTTCTCCCCACATTCCAAGTCACCGTCAGCAAAATGTGGGTGATAATAATACTGACCTACAGATATATAGTTGTGAGCATTACTGAGACCTGGGTTACACGGCATGGCATACTGGACTCGATGCAGCTACCCAGATACCTGTGGAAAACATATAATGCCATGTCTTCTTGTGGTGAATTTCCCTGTCACTGCCCTGCCATCAGCAAACCCTGCAGTAGGGAAACTCATGTGGTAACTATAACGTATTTACTTCTTGCTACTCCAGAGGGCGGAAGCCAAACCACTGGTTCAAATTGAGAGAAAGGGGATTTCAATTAAACCTTCAGAAGAACTTCCTGATTTGATGGTGGAACAAACAGGTTGCCTCATAAGATGGTGGGCTCTCCTTCATTAAAGGTTTCTAAGCAGATGGCCACTTATCAGGAATGCTTTACAGTGGATTTACCAAATCAGCAGGGGTTTGGACTAAGTTATCTTTGAAATCTATTTTAATTTTATAGACCTAACTTCCCATAAGGGAATGGGGGTGGGAGGAGAACTTGACACAGGGTGCCCTTTTAAGCATTGTCTCTGAAGCACAATGTGCAGCCTGGTTCTAAGGTAACATTTCTGAAACACTTTGAATATGCTAAAGCACTGTATAAATGTTAAGGGCTGAAGGTACTCTTATCTCTAGCAATATGCTTTCAAGGCTGCCCATTCATGTTCATCCATTTAATGAGTTTTCATTTCAGTAGGTAGCATTTCCCCACTAAATCGGTCCATGTGTAGAAAATGACAGTGATTGAAGAGATCATTATGCACATTCTTTGGAAATGCAACCGAATTAGAAAAGCCAAACCCAGAATTCTCTTGATCGTGCAGCTCTTCAACGAATTAGTTTTTAAGAGAGCCTAGATCCTTTTGGCTGCGGACATTTCCAGCACCTAGGTTCTCATAGGACCAAGCACCATGTGATGTGGAGATAGATCCACGATTGGATTGCATGGTGTTTTTGCTTGTAATGCAGGTGCTGATTACCTAGAAGCCAGGGGACAGTTTTGAATGGAAGCAATGGAGAGGGGGAAATTTCAATGGGGAAGATGGAGTTGACCCTTCTCTCTTTCCCAGCTCAGTTTGCAACTGATGGAAGTATCAAAGTAAAAAGAATAGCACTGAGAGATCCAATCATAAACTTCCCTGTATAACGTGTGGTTTGGCCCCTATGCATTTTATGGCCACTTAACAGCATGAAGTTCCACACTGAATACATTTTGTCAGTGGGTTCAACATGCAGCTGGCTTGGAAAGTGTTTCTGTTTCTTGCCATTGAAAAAACTGTTGTGCAGATTGGCTCTGGACAGCACTGCTCTAGCTAGCTAGACATTCTCTCTCTACAGTGCACTCCCCATCATAGGAGGGGAGAGTTTGTACAAACAGGGGAGATTTCACCTGTATTTAATGCCAGAAGTCTGCACAGGTCTGCAAAATGCTGCAGCTAGATATTGCAGACACTTTGAATGGAGGTGAGAGGAAATGTGCCAAAGGCATATATACACAAGGCTCCCTACAGACCTGTGCAGCAGCAATTTCTCAAATACTGTTCCCCTGACTTTTAACCCCTCTACCCCTACCCCTTCCATGGCAGGGAAAAAAGCCTCAAGCATATAGCAAGATTGGGGCTGGGAGAGAGAAATAACCCTGGAGGAGGATTAATTGCTTGTTTTGGAATGAAGTAACTGAGCAAAAACGGCAACTGGAAATCTCTCCCAGCCCCTCTCTCATATACTCCCACCACATGGCAGAGAGAGAGAGAGAGAGAGAGAGAGAGAGAGAGAGATTCAACATTCTTTCTGGATGTTTTGATAAGGTCCTTTCTTGTTTCTTTTCACCCGCGAGCGAACATGATTTGATTCCCTCCCTCCACCCCCTGCTTTCCATTCCTCGTTCCCTCCCTGGTTTGAGGTGGGCATTCAGGGTTGACTTCTATCTGTTCAATTCAATCTCCCTGCCTGTTCATTTTCTACATAATTCTCCTCACACACTCTCCCTTCAGCCAAATGATTTTCTTCTTTTTCTTCTTCTAATCTACCTTGTATTTTTAAGTTGTCTTGGTATTTGTTAGGCTTCGGGCTCTAAGCCTGTTCCCTCCCCCCCCCCTCATGTTTTTCATATCCTTCGTGTGCTTCACTTGAAAACTGGAGATAGATGCTAACATTTTACTGCTTCAATTCCAGCGTTACTGCCTTCACATTTGGCCTTCTGCTTAGCATCCTAATTAATTAGTAATAGCTTTCAAGAAATGCACAAGGTCTCAGAAGAAGCAAGGTATGAGCTGATATAGAGCCATTGTCTGCAAGGGCCTGCTGACCACCTCAGGGATATTTCAGGGTCTTTTTTCCAAATTGCCAGCTTTCATTCATTTTCTTATAAATAGCCCTTTTAATTATGGGGGTGCAAGGGAACAAAAGATGAAAGCACCATTCAGTAAGAAGCAAATTTGCTTCTACCTTCCCGTGTCCAGTCCAGTCAGTGAAAAGCAATAGCCAACAAGTTCAAGTTGCTAATTTTTAAATTGAATTTTGTATTAGCATTTTATTATGTAACCCTGTGCAGTAACCCTGTATGCTTAGATGACAGTGGGGACAAAGATATTTGCTGGAGTGCAGACATTATTTGAAGGCCAGATATTTCCCTTGTCTGCCAGTCTCAGAACAGTTCCAAAGCATAAGTTTGGATGGTCAGCCATTCTCTGCAACTCATGACATGCTTTAGTCTTCAACGAAATTTTTGGATATCATGATGGGACAATGGCCCCCAGTGACACTGTCTTAATAAAACCTGTCTTGTTCCCTTTCCCCTCCAGATTGGATTTAGAAGGGACCAGATGCATTTTGGGTGTTCTCCGTCAACAGAATTAAACCACTGATATGTTTGGTCTCAAATATTTTTGGATCAGCTTCTTGATCCAGCATTAATCTATCTCATTTTCCCCGTCCTAGTTTCTTCTGCCCTGTTGATCATGCTCTTCTGAATTGGTATTCTTGTCACAGGCTTTATCCCACCAGGTCTCTGAAAAGCCAACTAAATCATCATTGTTTTCATGCATGAGAACATCTAGTTCTTCCTACTCAGTTATTTTCCCAACTTCTTTTGTTGAGGTAGCTAGGCAGTATTTTAAAGCCTAGCTTCTCTCGTTCTTTAATGTCATTTCTCTTCCAGATGCAGTTTCCTTTTGCATTTTCCTATTATAAACATAATTCATTCAGTTGCCTCCTTCAGAATCCAACATATAAAGACTTCTTGCACTTTGCAGGCCTAGTAAATGCTACAGAGCCAACTATTTAATACTTTCAACAAATTGGATGTTGGTGTTGCATG